ATTACTAGGTAGGTCGCTATTAATTAATTATACCTTAATCATGATACATAGCATATTTGCTGTTTAGGAAGCTGAACACTAACGTTTAGGAAAGTTTTGCTTATTCTCGAAGTAATAAAAATACAGGAATGGAGAACAAATGAGTAGTTGCCAGAAATTAAGGAGAGGGTGGCAGGGAAGGGGGTACCACTATAAAAGAGCACCTTGAAGGATCATTGTGATAGAAATATTCTATATTTTGCATGTATCAACATCAACATCTTGGCTGCTATATTTTACTGTGGTTTTGCAAGATGTTACTAATGGGAGAAACTGAGTAAAGGACACAGGGGGTCTTTTTATCATTTCGTACAACTGATACATAATCATCTCGAAATAAACAGTTTAACCTTTTTTTTTTTAAGCCAGATCTTGCATCAAAGTCACTTAGAGGACCTTTTTCAAAACACAGTCTCTGGGGTCTGCCTCCAGAAAATGATTTTAATGGTTAGGCTCAGTCATCTAGTATTTCTGTTTATTACTTTTTACAGTTTCCCATTTGATTCTAATATGCTGTCAGTACTATCAAATCACTCATTTACAGCAATGATTCCCCAAGGCTGACTGCAAAAGAATCACCTGAGAAGCTTTAATCCCAGATTCTCAATGCCTACATCATAGAGATTTCGATTCAGAAGGTCTGGGATAAAAGCAGGAAATCTATTATTTTTAAGCTTAAATTCTTGTTGTTTTACTTCTCCAGATGATTTCAATGTACAACTAGGTTTAAAACCTCTAGATTAAAAGTATTTCTTTTTCCTGTATATTGTTTAAAGGTAGTTTTTAGCTCTGTTGGTCATTATCACGGATTACAAATCCTTGAAGTCCAAATTAAAATGTTTGCTGTATTTATAAAATCCCAACATAAATACTTATTATTTCCAACCACTGTCTTTCTTCTCTTTTTTTTTTTAAATCATATTTTAAGTTCTAAGGTACATGTGTACAACATGCAGGTCTGTTACATATGTATACATGTGCCATGTTGGTGTGCTGCACCTGTTAACTTGTCGTTTACATTAGGTGTATCTCCTAATGCTATCCCTCCCTCCTCCCCCAACCTCACGACAGGCCCCGGTGTGTGATGTTCCCCACCCTGTGTCCAAGTGTTCTCATTGTTCAATTCCCACCTATGAGTGAGAACATGTGGTGTTTGGTTTTCTGTCCTTGTGACAGTTTGCTCAGAACGATGGTTTCTAGATTAATCCACGTCCCTACAAAGGACATGAAATCATCCTTTTTTTATGGCTGCATAGTATTCCACGGTGTATATGTGCCACATTTTCTTAATCCAGTCTATCACTGATGGACATCTGGGTTGATTCCAAGTCTTTGCTATTGTAAACAGTGCCACAATAAGCATACGTGTGCATGTGTCTTTATAGCAGCATGATTTATAATCCTTGGGGATATGCCCAGTAATGGGATGGCTGGGTCAAATGGTATTTCTGGTATCACCACACTGTCTTCCATAATTGTTGAACTAGTTTACAGTTCCACCAACAGTGGAAAAGTGTTCCTATTTCTCCACATCTATTTGTTTCCTGACTTTTTAATGATCACCATTCTAACTGGTGTGACATGATATCTCATTGTGGTTCTGATTTGCATTTCTCTGATGGCCAGTGATGATGAGCATTTTTTCATGTGTCTGTTGGCTGCATAAATGTCTTCTTTTGAGAAGTGTCTGTTCATATCCTTTTCCCACTTTTTGATGGGGTTGTTTGATTTTTTTCTTGTAAATCTGTTTAAGTTCTTTGCAGATTCTGGATATTAGCCCTTCATCAGATGGGTACATTGTACAAATTTTCTCCCATTCTGTAGGCTGCCTGTTCACTCTGATGGTATTTTCTTTTGTCCAGCCACTGTCTTTCTAACCCATTAAAGCATCTTTAAAAACACGAAGAAGCTTATCTTCTTAATTCATTATACAATAAAGGTATTGAATTATTGATTTTTTCACTCCATTACTTTAGTAGGCTGTAATCACATGCCTAAAAAATTGGTGACCTAATGCAGTGGTTTTGGATTCTGGCTGTGCTTCGGAATAACCACCCTCAAGATACAGCACAGCAGCCCTGCTGCAAATCATAGCACAGCCTACTCAATAAATCTGATTCAAAGGTTTAGGGTGGCTACAAGGAGTTTATAAAACAAACTCTACAAAGATTCGGAAACACAGAGTTAAACTGACTTAGGGTTTTCAACTTTATCCTCTGGCTCAACTGATACACTAAATGACAAATTAATCTAAACCTGACATTTCTAAAAATATAAGTTGTTCACAATATAAAATAATTTACAGTGAGGTACAGTACAATGAATGTCAGACACCTTTAGTGTAGGCTCTATCAAGACCTAGTTTAATGTCCTTGAGCCTTAAATTTCCTGGCTACAAAACAATGCAGTTGTTCTGAGTCAGTGTTTTGTAAAATTGTGTTCCAAAGAGGTGTCTTAGTAGTCAGGAGAGAAGCTGAACAGAGCTGTAAGATAGGCAAGGTGAATGGGTTCTGCTTTAATCTGCTTATATACATATATAAATATATATATTCCAGAGCGACACTCCATCTCAAAAAAATAATAAAATAAATAAATAAATACATATATTCATATATATGATACTGCATTTGAAAATAAGTCCCACTGTCACACACACAGAGATTTGAAAGCCATGCTTCAAGATCTTGAAATGTGAGCCATCTTTGAAGTATTGACCATACTGAACACATACAAACACATTTTCAGATATAAAACATTTCCATCACCACAGAAAATTCTACTGAAAAGTCCTTCACCTGAAAAGTAACTGTTGTGGATTATAAGATCCCTAAGATTGCTTTCAGATTGAAAATTCTACCATAGTATTTGAAAAAACACTGGGTGCAAGTGGCTCACGCCTGTAATCCCAGCACTCTGGGAGGCCAAGGCAGGCAGATCACTTGAGGCCAGGAGTTCAACACAAGCCTGGCCAACATGGTGAAACCCCATCTCTACTAAAAGTACAAAAATTAGCTGGGCATGGTGGCACATGCCTGTAATCTCAGCTACTTGGGAGGCTGAGGCATGAGAATCTCTTGAACCCAGGAGGCAGATGTTGCAGTGAGCAGAAATCGTACCACTGTACTCAACAGTGCAGGACTGTGTCTCCAAAAAAAAGAAAAGAAAAACACACATTATTGATCCATGTGCTCTTAATCATCTTAGTAAAACATTGAAAAAAAAAAAAACTGAAGAACTAAAGTGAAAGAAAATGCTACTACTAGAAAAAAAAATATTTTTGGACTCTGGAAAGCCACTAGGATTTTAGTTTGAAAATGCTTTGTAGATTTTTGTCTAGCATAAAACTACAGAGATTAAGAAAGTAATAAAAATCTACATGAAGAAAAGTTTGAAAAATTCTTAGGTAATGTCACACAAAGGTATATAGAAACATGCCCACTCTATTAACTTCTTTGAGCTGCACATCTCTCTTCAGTAAGGAGGACACATACTTAATCTATGTTCCTGTTAAAATATAACAAACCAAATCCCAAGAAAGAAAATAATGAATCTATGGTTGCAGAGTTAAAGGAAAAGAGCTAGAACAAATCTTATTGATAGTACCTTGGAAGCAAACATCAAAGCAGACAAGCATTATTACTGACAAAAATGCCAAGTTCACTAATACAAAGAACAGAAGAAATTTACTTAACAAATATTTATATTGTATACTCACACTATACTGTACAAAGCATATTAGGTGCTACAAAGTTAGTATGCTAGGTGCTAAAGATGCAAAAAAAAGGGTCAGCTTTCAAAAGGCCCACAACAGGGGTAGTAGTTACATCAGTCCTGGACCAAAATACACCCAAATGACCATATTCTAATGAGAAATGGAGAAAATTCTATAAAGGAAACCAAAATACTAACATCCCTCTTTCACAAGCCCTACTTACAAACCTTAAAAACAAAGAACAATGCAAGAATTCGGTTACTACTGTCCACCGAGCCCCACATATGATATACCTACCTCTTTATTTCACAACCAATTACATTATTAGGAATTTTCATGTAATTTGTAAGAGAATCAGGTTTAAAAAATTCTGTCTGCAAGCTATAGTAAAGTGCTAATAAAACTGTGAAGGCAAGGATTCAATTCCCATAGGAAAAAATCCCATGACTCTACTATACGTCTAACTCTGGACAACCACTTCAATGGACAGCCCACTAAAATTAAGCAAAACAAGTACGGGTAAGCAAAAACAAATGGCATTAAAGAAAAAGAATTTGGTTTTATGCACAATTCCTCAGAAGCAAACACTAAAGTAGTAGGTTTTTAGACATTTATGTTTGACTTCCTCTGTGCCCAAAGGGTACTAGTCATTTTTCAAACTCTCATGTGTACAATTTATTTCTAATAGGTTATGTACATTTCACAATTTTTACCCAAAAATTTTCTCACGAAACAGAGGAAATTACAACTAAAATTCACCATAATTTTTCCATCTTTCAACATTTTAAGATGTCATAGGAGTTTACTATAGGAGAAGTCAAATATGTAATTAAATCATACAAACTAAACAGAAAAGATTACCAAATGTAGTGGTCTTTCAACAGAATTTCCAATTCAGTGGGTATCTCCTTCTTTGTACTGCTGCTGAAAACCATTTTAGAAATGTTTACTTCACTTTTCTCGTTATGTAAAGGTACAACAGTATTTACTCTTCAATAAGGTAAATGACAATCATATACTGTCTTCAACTTAGTATTTTGAAAAATTACGCCACTCAAGCTAAAACTATTTGAGCCTGTAGCAAAAGTTAGGCTTTTAAGTAATTTCATTAAATTGTTTCATTGTTCTTCCGAAAGGAAAGGGAAATAAAAATCCAATTAACTGGAATTCTATTAAGTGTAAATTCACAATAAATGGAAATTTTCAGGAATTTTAAAGTAGAAAATCCAAATCAAATCAGTGTTCTTACTTAATGCTGATACACTGGTGGATGCGACAGAAAGTCTCAAATATGAAGAGACGGGCATTTTCAATGAAATCCTCAAGACAAGCCACCAAGAAGAAGTCATTCACAAGCACCTATATGTACAAATATAACAAAAATTAATGATGAAATGTGAATCAAATACTTCGTCTGCTTTATTTTTCCATTCTAATATCATGAGTTTTATATCACAGCACTTTCTAGAATACTGTGTTCAAATCTTTAATGATTTAAATAAGTAGTAAAAGACTACTACAAGATAAAGACCTAAAAACTGCAATGTTTCTGAAAACTTTAAGTAATAAAGTAGTCTTCAGACAACAAAGTTTGGTACTATCCATTATTCTACATAAATGCTCTGCAGATAATATATCTCTTCCAACTATTTAAAATAGTTAATAAATGGACTAAAGCCCTGAGTATTTCTGTAATATTAAGTAGACTTAGAAATTAGAAAGGAAAAGAATGCAAAAGGTGGCTACTATTCCACAGACGGTGTAATTAAAAATATTTTAATTTCAAAAACAGCAACCAAGTGCCCTCTAGGTCTCTTAACAGCAAAACCTAAACACTTAGCATAATAAATATACACCAATATTTACCTTAATAATGCAACATATGACTACAAAAAAACACCAATTAACATATATGGATAATAACATATTAACATATTGGATTCTAATTTTCTATTCCATCTAATGTTTGAAAATCATCAGGGAGGCCGGGCATGGTGGCTGACGCCTGTAATCCCAGCACTTTGGGAGGCCCAGGCGGGAGAATCACGAGATCAGGAGATCGAGACCATCCTGGCTAATGTGGTGAAACCCCGTCTCTATTAAAAATGCAAAAAATTAGCCAGGCGAGGTGGCGGGTGCCTATAGTCCCAGCTACTTGGGAGGCTGAGGCAGGAGAATGTCGTGAACCTGGGAGGCGGAGCTTGCAGTGAGCCGAGATCACGCCACTACACTCCAGCCTGGGTGACAGAGCGAGACTCCATCTCAAAAAAAATAAAAAAGAAAGAAAATCATCAGTGAATGGATATTTGCATGATCATTTTTTTCCTTAGAGAAGTAAGATCTTTGTCAACAAATTGCCCATTTTGTGCCAAAATTCTAGTTCCAAGGATGAAACTGATGACTAGTAACTTGTGAATCTGGTAAATGCGACTACATTTAGCAGTTAGAATTCTTAGTTTGGTTTCTTAAAACTTGTAACTAATTATCAAAACAACTATAACCTAACTCTTCCACAGTTGTTCTAAAGGTACTTTAATTTCTACTAAACAACAAGAGACACTGCCGTTATAAAATTCATAAGTACAATGAATTGCCTGGTTTATCACAAATGTTAAATACAACCATGGGAAATATTCTAAAGATAAGCCCACCTATGAATCAAAATTAAAAACACAGTTGTTACCTGCAATTCAAAGTGACCTTGCCCGTACATATGAAATATTAAAAATATTTATTCATTCGAGATAAGACATGAAATTATGGATATATCTGTGAATTTATCCCCAATGTTTTAACAAACACCCCTCACAAAAGAGATAAACACATGGCAACAACATTTAAAAAGTCATCACTTTAGCACATTCCCATTTTAAGATTAATAAACATAAGCCATTTAAGTCATTTTAAGCTTAATAAACATGAGCCATTTAGGCCTTTTTAAGATTAATAAACATATTTGTTATAATTACTTCATTATTTTAAGGAAGACAGTGCAAGATTACAATATCCAAAAATTTAAAAACAGTGTTAGTTTATAAGTAAAAATTCATACTTACTGATTCACATTCCCTCAGCTTTTTCTGAGCCCCATCGAAGTCAAAGTTAACATATAAACATTCAACAAATTCTGTAATTGGGTCTTTATATGTGTAAGACTCCTGTAAAAATAAGTCAATGGTCAAGGTAAGTCTGATTCAACACCGTTTAGCAGATTGCCCCAGAGTATCCCAATCTTCTTGTTTTCTCCTTCCTTACCATTAATTTCTAGTCAAATTACCTAGCATCTTCTCGAAGCAATTGTTTCTATCCTGATTCCAGACCACACCTTAAGCTTATAATGTCTTTCAAACCAAGTTCTCTAAAGTCTCATCCTAGAAGCATTCTGAAAGCTTTCGAACTCCCCTACTACCAAGTCTCCCTTAGTCAATAAACAGTAATAAACTTCCCAAGCATAAGGATATTCACTCCCTACTGAATGACAATAACTTCTTTGTATTTAATTAACTCTTAAATAAATATTTAAGTTATTTTTCTAATCTATGGGTTTTGCTGACAAGCTCACTAAATATCAATCAGCATGGCTGCCTGAACCTTTTCCCCAATTTGAGGTCTACTGAAACTGTATTGTATATAAAGTTCACCCATCTAGAATTATACAGGTAATGACCCCCCAATTCCAGGTTCCAGATTTTCTTCACTCTTTGCAATGAGAAACACATATACATAATGTATATTAAGTGTTCATCTAGCAGACAGTAATAATCATTCCTACCATATCCAACTTGTGTATCTTGGACTTAAGGAAAACAAAAGTGCATTTGAGGCTCTTCTCTTTTCTAAACTTCATGTATTCCTCACCTATTTTTAAAAACATTTTTACCTTAAGAACTAAGTCTTACTTTAGAAAAAGAGGTTAGACCTAAAGCTTAGGTACATTTAAAAAAAAACAACATATATTTCAGTTTTACCTGCTGAATAACTTTAACTAGGTCTTTTAGAACCTGCCGACGTTTCCGAACATCCTTGTTTGTTATGACTGCTGTAGTCAAATAGCGAAGAATGTGTGGACACATTGTCTGAATTGCATTAAGATATCTAAGAAAAAAACATAAAAGTTATTTAATAACCTACCCAGGATGAGTTAAAGAAAACTCTCAAAGCAGGTCATTAGATTGTACTATTACACTAGCCTAAGACTGCAAATACATAGTGAGTATTATAAGAAAATCTCCTCCAAGGAAATTTAAAAACAGAATCCAGTTTCAGGAATCCAAATGAGGAGAATGCCAGCTACTATTTCTTTAATATGGGGTGAGATGGAAGACTCAATCAAGAGGCTAATTATCCTATTACTATTTTTGAGTAACAGGATTTTGGGAGGCTCACTGACATGCTATCAGTCTGTTGCAAAAGGCACTAAATGACGACTTTCATTCACCTCTTAGAAAAAAATGTGTGAAAACCTATGTGCAAAGCACTCATACTAATCAGAAAATCAGGCATTTCAATAATTCAGAGGATGAAAGACTGGAAGTAATAGGGAGAAGGAATATTACAATATTACAAGGCACTGGTTGAAGTGGTAGCAGTAGGAATTAGGAAGGAATAGACGTCAGGTAAACATTAACAGGGTCTTGGCTAATATTTAGCAAATCTTGCTGTTGTGATGATCAACATGGGACAATGCCCTGTAATTAGGTGTTTACCCTTGTTTCTCCTGCTTAATTTCCTCAAAAAGCTCCCTGTTTATTTACCCAATAAATATTAGTTTAGCACCTCTGAGTGTCAGACACTATACCTATCTCAGAATTATCTGTCAATAAAGTCCATTTCTCTCAGGTAAATATTCAAGCCCCAAATCACCCATCCAGCTCCATCTCCCATCACACTACCATTGACAGCTTCCTCTTTCTTCAAGTTCACTCCACACAGATTGGTCTCCCAAACGCATACCCTGAAAGCCTAAATCTTAGCCATCCTTCAAGGTCCAGCTTCAATACCTTATCTTCTAAGTTCCATCAGGCAATGATGAATACATCTGCATTTTATTTTATTACAAATTTCCACAAAATGTTGTTTAAACTCTTTAGAGGACCCTAGAATCGAACACTTAATACTATCTAGTCCCACTCAGCCACCCTGAATGCCCTCTAAATGAGGCAAAGTATAAAAAGAATATCCACTCAAGAATAAATAAGTTCTAGGAAAAGACACCAAAAACAAACTGGTTGAATGACATCATCTGAAAAATTAAGCTCCAGTTTCAAATGAAAATTTTTTAATTGCAATGCTCATTTATAACAATTACTTCCCTTGCCAGAGAGCTCATGTACAAACACAGGAAAGCATGATTGTTTTTTCTTACTATCAGTTTTAAAGTAAGTAATTTTATTTTTTATTTATTTATTTTTTTGAGACGAAGTCTCACTCTGTCTCCCAGGCTGGAGTGCAGTGGCACCATCTCAGTTCACTGAAACCTCCGCTTCCCAGATTCAAGAGATTCTCCTGCCTCAGCCTCCCGAATAGCTGGAAATACAGGCGCACACCATCACACCTGGCTAACTTTTCGCCATGTTGGCCAGGCTGGTCTCGAACTGCTGAGTCATAAGTGCTGGGATTACAGGCGTAAGCCACTGCGCCAAGACGAAGTAGGTCATTTTAGTGCGCATTTAGACTAATCATAAATTTATCTAAAATCAATTTATACACAAATCGTTCTATAAGTTTGTTGTATAGCGTGTTATTTTTACTTATCCTAAGTTTATACTATTGTACCATATACATCTTAATTATTTTTACTGGAGGATTCCTTATTTGGGAAATCTATTCTTTGTTTATGTGAGTGTATTTCAGAAGCCAGCAAAATTTTTGTAAAGAACTAGATAGTAAACACTTTTGGCTTTGTGGGCAAGAGGCAAAATTCAGAATACTATGCTAGATACTTCTATAAAAAGAGAGGAAACAAATTTCCAAAATATAGGTCTACTAATGAGACCAATGGAATTCTTTCACTGGGAATAATTTTGCTCAATTAATTTCAAATTTAGAGGTTCATATCATTAAAAAGTATTGCAAATGTTTTTCTGATAATGTAATCTGTAATGAGATTTTCCATATTTAGTCCTTGAAAATGTAAAAACAGCCAGGTGCCATGACTCATGCCTATAATCCCAACACTTTGGGAGGCCAAGGTGAGAGGATTGCTTGAGCCCAGGAGTTCAAGACCAGCCTGGGCAACATAGTGAAACCCTGTCTCTACAAAAAAAAAAAAACTGAGGTGGAGGATCACCTGAGCTCAGGAGGTCGAGATTGCAATAAGCTATTAACTGCACCACTGCACTTCCAACCTGGGTGACACAGCAAGTCCCCGCCTCAAAAAAAAAAAAAGAAAGAAAGAAAGAAAGAAAAGAAAAAGAGAAAAGAAAAAAGAAAATGTAGGCGGGGCATGGTGGCTCATGCCTGTAATCCCAGTGCTTTGGGAGGCCAAGGTGGGTGGACCACTTGAGGTCAGGAGTTTGACTTCGGCCTGGCCAACATGGTGAAACCCCGTCACTACTAAAAATACAAAAATTACCCACGTGTGGAGGCAGGCACCTGTATGTAATCCCTGCTACTTGGGAGGCTGAGGCAAGATAATTACTTGAACCCGGGAAACAGAGGTTGCAATGAGCTGAGATGGCGCCACTGCACTCCAGCCTGGACGACAGAGCAAGACTCCATCTCCAAAAAAAAAAAGAAAATGTAAAAACATGCACAGGCACTAGTAAATGCTGACATCAAACACTAACTGACAAGTATATTATTTCAATTGAGCACATTTAGAAAGACATGTGCAATTCCATTATATTGGTGTTATCTTTTAGTGTGTCATTATATTGCAAATTAATCACTTTCAGTTCAAATTTTGAAATACAGAAATTTCCTTTGTGCTTGCAATGAGGTCTAAAACTTTCTGCAACTCTAATTTGAGCTTGGAAATGTATCTGCTACAATCCTATTTAGGAATGAAGGTCTCCCTTTGTGTTTTAATTTCTGACAGAACGCAAAATGTGTAAAGCAGTTGGCTTTTTATTACTTATAATTCATACCATGTTGTCACTGAAATGACTACTGCAATATAAATTCTACATATAAACATTTTTGTAATTTTAGGTGGAACAGACTAAGAAACATTGTCAAGTCTGCTGCAAAAGTTAACCTCCAGAGCCATTCAGTGTTTGTTAGCAGGTTGGGGGCAGTTTCAATCTCTCCCTGGAGCAACATACTCTCAATATCCTCAACTCAGAGCAACTGTTCTCACTGAAAGGTTAATAGTTTTAAACAAGTTTATTTCACTGGACAGATTTCTCTGGCTGCTAAAATCAAAACATGTTTTAACTGGATCACCACTGGTAAATGACTTTCCTTACTTGGTTAATAAAAGTACTACTCATGCCTGGGCATAGTGGTGTGAGCCTATAGTCCCAGCTACTCAGGAGGCTGAGTTGGGAGGAAGGATCATCTGAGCCCAGGGAGTGAGTGAGCTGAGGCTGCAGTAAACCAAGATTCCACCACTGCACTCCAGACTGGGTGACAGAGCAAGACATGGACAGACAGGACAGGACAGGACAGGACAGGACAGGATGAAAAGAAAAAGAAAAAGAACAGGAAAAGAAAAGGGAAAGGAAAAGAAAGGAAAGAAAGAAAAGAACCCCTCAGAAACTTTAAAAAAAATTTTTAGCGCAGGGTCTCATTCTGTCACCTAGCCTGACGCGCAGTGACATGATCATCACTCAGTCTCCCAGGCTCAAGTGATCCTCCTGCCTTAGCCTAAGCGATGGGGCTATGGGCATGAGGCACTGCTCTGGGCTAGAAACTTACCTTTGAAGCCTCACTTTCACTCAGTTTTGTGGAAAAATTCTGCTAGGATCTAATATTCCATTTTTAAAACTTACAATTTTTCTGACAGTTGCTTTCCTGTCAGTTTGAGAACATGTGACAGTTGTGATAAGCGATTATAGTCCAGTGAGGTGGATGTATATTATTAGCTTACCTACAATGTTTAGTACTTTGCTTTGTAATTCCTACAATAAAAATCTCCACTCCACTGTGCTTTATAATCACATTTGAAGTTCACTTCTCTGTTTTGACAGGGTAAATATACACTGGTAATAAGATAACATATAAATAAAATGTTGCAGTGTGACAATATGGGGCATGAGAAACACTGTCCAGGTATAACTGGCATCACTTGGATTTGTAGTAAACTGAGAAGAATATGAAGTGGCAAAAGTGCAACATATCATCTCTGTCTCAACTACCCAAGTCTACCATTAGAGTTCAAAAGCAGCCAGACTACACACACACACACACACACACACACACACACACACACACAAAGAGCGAGAAAGTGGCTGTTTTCCAATAAAAAGTTATAAACACTAAAATTGAAATTTCATGTCATTTTCACATAACAATATATTATTATTCTTTTCATATTTTTTTAGCCAATTAAAATATAAAAGCCATTCTAGACTGCCAGACATATAAAAACAGGTTACGGGCCAGATTTTAGCCCATGGTCTATAGTTTGCAGATCCTTGGTATACAGTATCAGGCTCCAGGTGTTTTTACTTTTTAGAGATGGAATCTGACTCTGTCTCCTAGGCTATCGTGCAGTGTGACAGTCATAGTTCACTACAGCCTTTAACTCCTGGACTCAAACCATCCTCCTGCCCCAACCTCCCAAGTAGCTGGGACCACAGGAGTGAACCACAATGCCCAATTAATTTCTAAAAAAATGTTCTAGAGATAGGTCTCACCATGTTACCAGGCAGGCTTCAAACTCCTGGCTTCAAGTGACCTTCCTGTCCCAGCCTTCCAAGTAGCTGGGATTATAGGGAGGAGCTACCATGACCAGCCAGACTTTGAAACATGGCAGACTCCCTACCTTATAGGGCAAAAGTGATCCATCCTGTGTATATACATCTAGGTGTGTGCATCTATATATAGATAAGGAGAGGAAGGAATAGGAGTGGAGATTAGAGATGATCATTTTGTTATCTCAATTCACATTCTTGAAGGATCAGCAATTATAAATTTGTTTCAAACATGAG